GCACACACAGAGCACGCCAGCTTTTCTTAGAAAAAAACACGTTGCAGTCCAGATTTCACTCACAGCACCATTCCTCAGAAGTTCAAGCTGGAACAATGCAGACATAGGAGGGAGGATCAGAAACCGTCTGAGGGCAAGTCCTTCTTTCTGCCCCACATTTCACAAGGTAGTCACCAGTTTTTGGTGCAAGATAGAAACAAGCTGCTTGGGTGAATTCTTACTGGAAGCCAATACAAACTTCTCAGAAGCAGACTGTGTTTTCTATTTCAAAACTGGGAATAGCTCAGCTCTGGGACTTCTGCTAGAGGAACTTTCCGTTAACGCAGATATTTAAGAAAAAAAATGTCCTGTGTGTTAGAAATAGTTCGGCTCTTCTGACTCTTCACTTTTACTATAAGAAATGATTATAGGCTAAGGTCACAAAACAGAGCCACTAACCTCTGTTTGAACTTCCTCGTGTTCGGCACATGTGGGTATTTCATTATCAGTTCAGAGGCATAGCTGACTGACAGGCCACGCATACCAGGAAAATGTGCAATCTTACTTTTAAGTCTTTCAACCTGCCCCTGCTTCCTCCATGTGCATATGTAGGAGGAAGCTGTATCTTTAAGAAATACGGGTTTTTTTCCCCATTTCCTGTGAAATATTAATAGATGCTGCCAATGGGATGGAGCTCTTTAAGGGTGTTGTATAAAATATCTCGCTCTGCGTTTGCTGCAGCGCTGAGCACATAGATGCCTCTTGATTTTTCTCCAGAGGAGGCAAAGACACGGCAAATTTTGGAGATCAGGTAGCAAGGATGCTCTGCAATAGCAGTAACAACCGTCTCCTTCCCTGCACAAAACTGGGAGCTATTGACTATTCATGGCAAAGCATCCAAAGCGCAGCGGCAGAGCCTGTGGAAAATGACAGCGTGTAACAAGATTGACTGGCATTTCCTTCGCACTGGGTCACATGCCTCCTAATTCACACATACACAAAACCTCATAGGCTGATCAAATGACTTCTATCTCTGCAGTCCACATACCTTCCACAGAAAGAGTTGTTTTATTATGCACATATACAGCTCTGTTTTCAGTCAGTCACCTTGAGCGAATGACTGAGGGCCAGTGTTCGCTCCGTCCGGAGGTCTCTGCGTTTGCTCTCTAAGAGACGTAGTCTCCGTCCGTAAGCAATTTATTTTTTTTTCCTCTGGGGGGAAAAAAAAAGAAAACAAATACGCAGATGCCCTTCCTGCCTTCCGCTCCCCAGAAACCTTTCAAGTAAGTTTGCTTGGCTTAACTGGGAAAGCGCAGGACGGTCGCCGCTGTCGGCGAGCATTGCGGTGGGCTGCGCTAGGAAGGATGGATTTTGCCCTTGTGCCTCCGTGAGGTTGCAGCGGGATCATGGCTCATGTGAGTAGGGGCTTGCAGGATGCTGCTTCCTCGAAACTGGGAGCGTGGCTGCCCGCCATGGGTCATGGCAGATTGAGATGCCGGGGGTCCATACGAGCCCTCCCAGTTCAGCAACTGCCACGAGGTTCAGATCACCTCGACCTCCATACCCGGAGAGAGAGGAGTATGGAGTGATGAGGTGAAACCAGCCACCAGCTGGCTTGCCAGGACATGGTAATTAGCTCAGTGCAGTGCCAGCCTTATTAAGGGCAGTGCAGGTGATGATGACGTTGGCACACTGATTCATTACATCTGGAGGGGAAAATCCGCCTAGTAAATGCTGAAGCACAGTAAATATTTTTGGCTTCTGACAGATTGATCCTTGCATTATGCTGATTAGCCTATATTTGTGGAACTGAGGAAGTTAAAAATGACATTGATGGAAAGCTACAAGATAAGGAAAGGATTTGCATTTTATGGCCACCAGCAATAAACTTCTTTTTTTATTTGTTTTTTTGGGTGGTAAAAATTTCAACACTTTATTTTTTCTCCCCATTCTCTTCTTTGGCTCTAGGTTTCACTGTTAGATGAAAGCCCATAATTTATTTTCTCTTGCCAGTAATATTCTGGAAAGGAACTGTAAATCTAGAGCGCGCACAGTTGGGAAATGATTTCTGAAAGAATTCTTTTGCAAATACGTGGTGCAATCCTGCAAAATGCTTCGGCCCCGACAGTCCTTAGGGGGTGGTACAGACGTATCAAAGCGTGTAGCAGCACGTGTACTCAGTGAGACTGGATGCTTTGGACTTTCCTGTGAGCTAGAGGGCTTTACGAGCTTTCGTTCATGGAGATAAATGATTAAACCAACTTCTGACTGTTGCTGTTTTGTTTTCCTACACTCAGGCTCTCACCTGAACTTTCGCCGCCTGGTATATGCTGTTGGGATATCCATAAGAGATCGCCCAGGAATGGTGGATCACTTGCTGCCTACTGATGAATCCTTTTCATCTACAAGATCTTCTCTCGGATACTTTGGGGACATGACAGCAGGGGTGAGGTCCTACCAAATGCTGCCCTCTCCCCTGTCGGAAGATGACAGCGACTCGTCCAGCTTTTGTTCTTGTTCCAGCCCTGACTCCCAGGTTCTCAGCTCCAGCTATGGAAGCACGTCCAGTGCAGAAAGTCAGGACAGTATCTTAGACTACTTGTTGTCCCAGGCATCTTTGGGGAACACCGCTGCATCATGGTGGGACAAAAGGAGACTTCAGCCGATGGTGAAAGAGGAGTACTTTAGGTTGCCTGAATTTGCCGTGGATATGGAAGACTCAGGACCATTTCAGCCCACGCTTGAGGAAATTGAGGAATTTCTGGAGGAGAACATGGAGTTGGAGCTCAAAGAAAGACCTAAAAGTGAGACCAAGGACTTGAGAGCTTGCAGCCAAGTTTCTGTTGCTTCGCTACAGCAAAAAGACCATATGTTACCCAGCGCTAGTTTAAAAGAGAGTAAAAATGAACAGTTGAGCAGCTCAACGGAAGGTGGCCAGGCTTCAAATGGAGGAATGTCCCTGGAGAATGGGATACCGGTTATGCTCCAAATTCAGCCTGTACAGATCAAACAGGAGTCCAACACGAGCCCCAGTTCCCAAGGACCAGCACAAGAGAACATTAAAATTGCACAGCTCCTAGTCAACATCCAAGGACAGACATTTGCCCTTGTGCCTCAGATAGTTCAGTCGTCCAATTTGAACTTGTCCTCTAAATTTGTCCGCATTGCTCCCGTCCCCATCGCCGCCAAGCCAATTGGGCCAGGAGGCATGATCCAGGGTCAGACGGGAATCATCATGGGTCAGAAATTTCAAAAGAACCCTGCAGCAGAACTCATTAAAATGCACAAATGTTCTTTTCCTGGTTGTACCAAGATGTACACGAAAAGCAGCCATTTGAAAGCCCACCTGAGGAGGCATACAGGAGAAAAGCCTTTTGCATGCACGTGGCCGGGTTGCGGATGGAGGTTAGTATTGGGGCGCAGCACTGTCCTATCCCCCCTCCCCTTTTGCTCACTTGACCTAACTTGCCGAGCAAGTAGGTTTGCAGTCTGATTTATAAACTGTTTCTGTTCCCAAAACTTGTTCGGTTGGTTTGAGAATTAAGACCTTTTTCTTCCTGTTAGGTAATCCAGGGGCTTTGATAAATTAAATAGCAGAGTATCGCCTGCTGGCACCAGCTGTTTAAGTGTCTTAAAAAAATAAAAGTTGTCCATCGTAATTTGTATTTCATTCCAAGAGGGTCAGATTAAGCTTGTTACCGCAGGCAATACGTTGCATTCACATCGGTCTGGTTGCAACACACCAGCTGCAGCAGATGCTCGGCTGGTACCAGCTGAGGGCTGTAAGTGAACTGGATGGTTCAGAATCGCTGGGCAGAATGGGCAGAATCGCTGCGCGTGGCTCCAGCTGCATGGGGCTAAACCCGAGCACTGAAGGGCTGTGTTAAGCGAGTGTGGTGAAGAAGAGCAGTATTCTGTGCAGTTCATAGAAAATGCACTCCGTCCCACTCCTTCTGGAAATGCTGGCAGTGACACTCGGGCATGCTCTGGGTTTTATTCTCTGCATTGATTCAGAAAAACGCGTGGGTGCCACTCAAAGTTGCAGAACGCTGTCAGATGTAACAACAGAACCAGAAGGCTGAGGTGGAGTTAAGCATTGCTTGAATGAAAGATTGCAGGTCTGATTGAGCAAAACGTTTCGCAGAGGGTGTCTCATGATTTTTTTTTTTAATTATTTTTTATTTTTAATACTAGTTGAAAAATTAAAACTTTGTTTAAAAAAATCAACTTTTTATTTTAAGGAAACTTTGATGGAAGCCTTCCTCCCTCTTTCCAGTTAGCTATATTACTAGCCTGCCTGCTGGCAAGTGTTAATATACAGCACCACAAATTACGATGGGAGAAAACAAAATCTTAACTCCCTTGTATTAAATTAAACCGGATTTCTTTCAAAGAATATCCTACAGAGCTTCAGCAAGCAATGTCTAATGAGGAAATGGGTTGTGATCTTGGGAACAGACGAGGTAAAAAGTAACAGGAGAGGGTTGTGTAAAAATGCAAGTATGTGAGACATGCTGCAGTTAGAGATGGCTGGATTGGTTTGAGGGAAAAGGTCAGAATGGGGCTGAATCCTCTGCTTCCCGACTGGACCAGTTTGAAGTTCGCCTCGTGGCGGGATTGAGGAGATCACCAAAGAAATTAATTGTATTGATTTTCTTTCCCGTTTCACTTTATGGTGGCTCTACAAACTGGTGGTGATTTTCTTTCCTTTTGTACTGGTGGCGCGTCTCGTGAGCTGGGCTCAGTGGCTTGCTGCTCAGGATGCACCGAAGTTAAAGCTGTATTATTTAGCTGGTTGGTCCCGTAAGCCGCAGGCTGGTTTGCTCCTGACCTGCAGCAGAGGCACTCGCTCCTTTTTATTTGGTTGCCAGCGTACGTGCGCACAGGCAGCAGATGTGCCTCCGCCTGTGAACGTGCCTGTGGGTGTCATGTTGGCTTTCCTTGCGTGGGGATGTGAGCAAAACTCTCATTTTTGTGACAAATGCATGTGGCGTGTGAGGGTCTGTCTGATCCACGCTGAGATTTATACCAACGCTGCCAGTGACCCTTGTGGCTCAAGATCAGGAGCCTGAAGTGTTGCCTGTGGGTGACCTTCTCCAGCTCTGTCTTATTACATAGCTGGTGTTTTCCAGGCTGCAAAACCAAGGGGGACATTTAGGAAAAATATTAAGTGGTAAGGGATGGAGATTGAATTTACACCGGGGGTCCTGCCTTCTCCCAGCGCTACAGCGAATGGTGTGGATCAAAAGCAGGCTGCGGGTTTAAGGAGGGCCAAGAGAAGTGCAGGTCCCGCAACCGGGAGCACCTTGAACTTTCACTCTCAGCCAGCCACAACTTTTTAAAGATGAGGAGCCCAATGATGAGAAATTAATCACCTTAGCTACGAGGAACGTGTGTCTTGTCCACAAACAGCTGCTGGAAGGGCTTTTCAAACTCTCTGTTGCTGTTTGTCGTGTTGCATTTCACAGCCCAGGCTGGTACCCCAGTCCCCACCACCCCCAAACTTTGGAAGGGCTCTGCTCCGAGGGGGGAGGTTTATAGGCAGCAGGAGAGGCAGCGCTGGGGGAGCAGCTTCCCGCGCTCACAGCAATCCTTAGCACCGGCCTGAGGTTCCTGCACATCCCCTGCACGCCGCTCCCACATCAAAGGCCAGACCCAATTGAGCACTGAATTACTCAGTTCCCTTTCATCAATAAAGCGTGTTTACCTTTTCCAGAAGTTCAGTGAGAGCTGTGATCTCACGTGACTTAAGTCAAATGCATCTGGACTCTCTGTTTGCTCCTGGTTTTGTATCATCTCGGATGAATTTAAACACTAAAACACTGCTGGGCTCTGCTTTCCCCCTCCTTTCCCTGCATTCTTGTGCTTGCGTATTTATTTTTTCACCGAAGACACTTAAGATCTGACCTCACTGAAGACAGTAATTTCAGAAACAAAACAAAGTGTTGCCTAGCACAAAGGGGCTGAGCTGTGGGGGGTTAAAGCTTTCCCAGCTCTCTGGGCAGCCCTGCTACGGTGAAGTTGCATGCTTTAAATGCACCAAGGTAGGGCTGTGCACAGCAAACCCTTTTGCTAACCCCTAAGACAGCGGGAGAGCCCCAAGCACCTCCCTGGAGGAGGCTGAACCCTGCTTGCTTGTGTCCTTCCTTGGCATGGGGCAAGAGCTGTTTTCGGCAGGCTGCAGAGGCGTTCATAAGTGGCTGGTGACCCGTTGCGTTCAATACCCCGCTGTACCGGTCGGCGTGCTGATCCGTGTCATGCCAGCTTATACCTTTGGCACGCGGCAGCCTCTGGTTAGCGCTGCTCCTGAGACAGCCCCGACCAAAAAGCGGAGCTGTAGCATGGGCCGGTCCCCAGCAGCCGTGTTATGGCATGGAGCAGGAGAAGCTCTCGCGTTCCCTCCCCGGCGCAGCAGCGTACAAAGCTGCAGTTGTTGTAAGGCCTGGGGGAATTAGGCAATCGCGTGTAAATGCCCTGCTGCATCTTCTGGCTGGAGGCGCTTCCCCGCAGCCGGCTCTGCAGGTGACAGCGTGCAATACAAGCTCTGCCAGGTTTGGTAGGGAGGGTTTAAAGGCTTGTAATGCGTGTGGCCAGGAGGGTGTATGGGACCGGCGAGCGTGGGGAGGACCATGCGTGGGACAGGTCAGGGCAGGCGTCTTGCATTGGCCTTTTTTGCTGGTGCTGCGCAAAGGGGTTTGCAGGTGCGCAGGGGGAGCGCTGGTTTACTGTAGCGGTGCTTTGGGGATGATCAGGGTGAATCTAGAGCATCCCCTCCACCGCAGAGGAGAGGTACAGCCTGAGTCAGTCTCTGTGGCTGGTGGCCATGGTGAGGACCATGGAGTACCAGGCTGAAGCTGTTGACCTTTCTTGCCCTGTGAGCCACATAGCGATGTCCTTGTATGGCCGGGAGACACAGGGCACGTCCTACGCATCAGGGAGCTCTAGGATTTGTCTTCAAGGGAAATGTAGTTACAGGTCCTTTGGGGTCCCACCAGATAGAAGGATGAAGGAAGCTCTTCTAGTTGCTGTGGGATTGTCCAGATCCCTCCACCTTTCTTTTGAAGGAGGAATCCTTCTGGAAATGGCAGTGACTTGGGATAGTGAGGTGTTCCTTGGGGGTACCTTTTCTTTGTTTGAATTTGGCATTCCACTGGGGATTATTTGTGGTTTTCTTGGGGTGATCTCAGTGCCAGAACGTGCTGCAAATATCATTTCACTGCAGAGCCAGGCCACCAGATCCTCCCGGCTTCCTTGTCCTAACCTTTGCGTTGTTTTTTGTAAACACACCGACAGCTCGAGGTTTATTTCTGTGGGCTCTGTAAGTTGATCTTTCCGTGACTGCTGGGGAACAGTATTGCAACATTCCTGCCTCTTCAGCTAAGGACATCGTTATGAGGCAGAATGTATTTTTATCGGATGAACTCATCCGAGCTCCCAGGGTATGAGCGGAGTTGCTCATTCGTGACATGCGTCTCTTTCTCCCCCACCATCCGTGCAATTCCCATTGAAATGCACTTGCGGAGGTCTTGTGCAGGATTAGCCATGTGCTACTGCACTTCTGTTGCAGATGGTGGCCTTAGTGGCCAAGGACATGGGACAAGGCAACCTGGCCACATCTGGTTTTACTCCTTTGGGTGATAAGCCTGTATATAAGAGGACAGCTCTTTGCAAAGGTGCTTCTCCCTCCCTGTTCCCTCTTTTCCCTGGACATGGTTGCCACCACTGGCAACAGGTCCGTTCCTTGTCCAGCACTGGGTCCCGCTGAGGCAGTCTGCACAGGCAACATCCTGCCCTCTCCAGAAGGATGCTTAGTCCCACTCATCCATAGCTCTACAAGAGCATCCCTCCAGAGATGTGGCACTGGGACTAGCTCGCTGCTAAGGACTCAACTCGGGAGAAATCCCTGGTCCTGCTGCTCCCAGGTCCAGACTGTGGTTTTGGGAGGCCACGGCTGGAAGGAGCAGGAGTGCTAGAGAAAGCAAGTAGTAGGGGTGAAGAGAAACCTCTGTCGTAGCCTTTATGAAGAAGAGGCGTCCCAGACAAGGAACAGGTTCATGGCTCCATTAGGGCATCTGCCTGTTGCTCTCAATGGTGAATTTTCACCATGGGGATACCAAAGCAAGGAAAGGGAGAAAAGTAAGAGAATGGGTGAAGGAATCTCCTCTAGAAATGCCCCTGGGAGAGATGTGTCCACACCATACTTTACCCATGGCGAGTATCTGCGTCTGCTTTGTGCTGGCTGAACGCGCTCTGGGTAGCATCACTGGACTGAAGAGCTGCGGGAACTGAGGAAACCATTCCCAGCTTTCCCAGCGCCTGCACCCTGTTCCTCAACTGGTGGCAGGAGATCAGAGCTAATTAAAACCTTTATGTGGAAACTTATTTTTCTTGCACGAAGGACTTATTCATAGGAGCCCAGCAGTCCTGTTTTCCCCCTTTCACAAAAATAGCATATTCACTCTGTTGGTGATGTGATATTTTGCTCCAGAAAGGCACATTTTTCTCCACGTTCTTTCCCCCATTTATTCAGCTAGTGCCCATGACTTCATTTATTTATTGTAAATAAACAGCTGATACCGTTTCTTGCAAGCTCTCTTTCTGTGCCGCTCTTTGTTACTGCTCTGGCAACAAAACACTTAATTGCCCTTTGTCAGGCAGCAAATTTTTTGTACCCATCTGGACAGGGCTGTTTTAGTGTGACATTATTAATTAACCCTGTGGCTCCCAGTCACGTCCAAGCTGGAAATAGAGCCAGCCCCACTGTTAAGACCAAAGGATTAGCTGATTTGAGTTCAGTAAAGCCTGTGGGATTCACGGTGGCTATTTGGGGATTTTTCTGTGGAGATGGAAGGTGAGAAATACCTAAAATTGAAATGACTATGGGAGACAATTTTGGTAATTAAAGGCTCAATCTTGATTTCAATTTACCCGTGAAGTAACTGTGCTAATGGCCATTGGGGCCCACCTGGATTTCAGCAGTTATGATGTTGAGCATCTCTGGTACTGAGATGTTAACGACTCTTTATTTAGCCTGCAGGAGCATGTACAAAAGCCAATTTTTCAGCTGGATCTGATAAGCCATGTAGCTTCTGGGTAGCTATGTCCGCCTGTTATCTGGGGTTCATCTCAAACTAGATGCAATTACTGAATGCCCGTTGTGCTCTTGTCAGTGGGAGCTTGGAGCAGACCTCGCCTGCAGAACGTTGGTTGCTATCTCTGCTTGAGAAGGGCCCGTGCCTGGATTTGCAGGAGAGGGGTTCCAGGACAGGCTTTGAAGGGGACTGGCAGAGGGATCAAGAGCAGCACTGTTTTCGTTGAGCTGTACCCATGTTACTGGGTTTAGGGCAAGGCTGGTACAAACGTTGCCTCCATGCATTGCTCTGAGTCCAGAGCTGACATGGGATGAGGTTGATAATTGTGTGTTTCCATCACTGCTGCCGACTGCCGGTTGGGACCCTGTTGTGTGTCCCTTTCAGTTCACGTGTTCGGGCTTTGCCGCAAACGGAGTCTCCCAGTGGCCCGAGGGGACTTTTTTTCTGCTGTGAGAGACTCGGCAATGTAAAAAACCATTTATCTGAAAAGGCTTCTCTTCTCTTGCAGGTTCTCCAGGTCAGATGAGCTGTCCCGGCACAGGCGGTCCCACTCGGGGGTGAAACCCTATCAGTGTCCCGTCTGCGAGAAGAAGTTTGCTCGAAGCGACCACTTGTCCAAACATGTCAAGGTGCATCGGTTCCCACGAAGCAACCGCTCCGTCCGCTCCGTGAACTGATTGGTCCCGCTGTCCCCTTCCCGCCCAGCCATCCTATGACAGCCGATGACAGCACTTTGCTCACTATATTTCTAGTGATAATTTATTTGTCTCCACAGAACAGTCAATGCTGTTACTTGATACCACCATGTCTGAGTGTCCCATGTCCTTTAAAGATGATTTGAGAATGAAGTTCTTTTTGGGTCAGGGGAGGGGGGTGCTTCTTCCTTTTTTGTCTTTTTTTTTTTTTTAAAAAGGATGTTATTTTCCTTTCCTTTTATCTTTCCCTCCTTTGCTGCTGCTTCTTTTGGAAATTACAGTGTTTTATTTTTAGCTGTTTTCTGCTGCACAGGAAAATAGGGCTTTGCTCATGTACAGGCCATTCATTGTGAGTTTTTATTAAGCTGCTCTATTTGTCCAGTTTGGAAACAGCAAATTCCTTTTGAAATGAAAACAACTCCTTTGTTTTTGGGTTGCCTGAGCCAAGGATTTGTAGGGGCTGGCCATGGGAGGAGGAACAGTGGGAGTCGGGGACAGGGGGAGGCAAGGCATGGAGAGCGCTGGAATGCACCTCTGCGCCTCTCTTATTTCTCCGGCTCACACTTACTTTTTCCTTGGCTAGCGCTATATATAAATATTTATGTATATATATTCATACATACATATATATATATTTAAGCAAAGGCATATCCCAAGCAAACCCGGAAGCTCAGGCTGGATGAAATGGCTTGGAGTGGAGCCTTTTGGGGTGGCTGAGCGCCGCCTGTGGGCCGGCTTCTCTTTTTTTTGTACTGTGTGCCTGCTTCTCCTGTCCTGTGCTGCCGTGGGGGTGAAAGGATGCTCACGCGTCGAAGGAATGCTGCTTTCCGTCGACTCTGGTTTGCAGCATCCACCGTCTTTAGCAGAAGAGCTGTTGTCTAGCACGTAAAGCAGCAGGAAGCCATTTGTGAGAATGGCTGAGCTCTGTTGTGTCTCTGCTCCTGTCCTCGTGTGTGATCTTGGGGAGAAGCCAGAGCACCAGCCCCGGAGGTGCCCGGTGGTCCTGGTGAGCACCTGCATCCCGAGCATCCACTGCGAGGCAATGCCTCGCTGGTTGGAGCCAAGTCTCCGTTTGTCCGCTGGCCGGCAGGGTCTTGTAGGATGTACCTGTACCCAGGGGAGGGTGGGAGGCATCGTGGCCTGGTGGGACAGCACCGTGAGATCTTCTGTCCAAGGGTGATCTTCAGTGCTAATCCTCTCCTTACCGACAGCCATGTCAGAGCTCCATGCAGCTGGGGTGGGCGAATGGGTGAGAACAGTAGCCAAAAAAACCAAATTTATGTGGTACCTGGCTAAGAAGGGAATTTAAACAAATAATCAGATGGTAGCAGGCAAGTGATTTTGTTTGTGTTTCTTCTTGTTTTGTTTTTCCTTTTGAACTCTGGCAATTGTAAGAAGTTTTAGAAGAAAATAGAATTCAGTAATTAGGAACGATTTTATAATGGATGTTGCATTTCCTTTCCATTCGCAGACGGCATCTGTTTGTCTTTTTGTTGGCAAAATGGGAAATAGGAAACTGCGATTCTAGCGCTAGGCAGAGCAGGAGCCCGTGCTGTGCAAGAACAGCAGGTCTAGCTAAAGTGAATGCATTCCTTTTGTCCTCTAGAAATTAATATAAATGAACTATCATCTATTGACTGGTTTATATCACATCCTATGAATGTATGTAAATAAAACTGTACATAGATGCATATCTATATAAAATATCTTTTAATAACATATCAAAATTTGTGTAAATTGGAAACAAAAATACCTATAAAGCCAGTGTACATAAGTTACAATTCTGTATATTTTCTTTTGTTCTTCATAAAAATATATTTACTTTGACAATAAAATGAAAATGGAAATTTTAAATCCCTTCTTGAAATTATTATTCATTAATTTCCTTTGTAGCCAGCTCTGTAATCAGGACAATAGCGCTTGAAATTTTGATTCACCTGGATGTAACTTTTCAGGTGCTGGGCAACAGGGAGATGATGGAACAGATCTGAAGTTGTCTTCAGAAGTTTTTCTCATCTCAGAAAGTTCTTGGGAGGCGCGAGATGTTTCAGCTCTCCCTTCGCCAGAGCCCTCACGCCTCGCCTGGCAGCTGCGCTGGGACCCGAATGCCTTCTGTGGTTTCTGAGTGCTGTGGAACAGGTCTGCAGCTGCAGTAAAACTGTGGTTAATAAATTAGAGCAAGCAGGTTTTGAGGAAAGTCAAGCTCTAGTGGTTAGTGTGAAGGAGGAAGGGCTTCAGAGTCTGCTTGAGACTGTGACGGTGACTCACTGTGTGACCCAGGACAAAGGACTCAATTGCCATGTGCCGCAGTTCCCTTTCTTGTAAAATGGGGATAATAATGCATCATAGTGATACTGTGGGACTTAATTTACGTTTGTGTGATCCTTGGATGGAAGGAACAAGCAATAGGACCAGTAGTCACAGGATTAGATTGTGAAAGAAAGGCTCGGCACAGCGGAGGTCTTGGTGCCAAGGCGCTTCAGTTGGCTCTTCTGTAAATCCCACGTCTGAAAGAGTGATGTGAAGGATCTGTGGTACGAAGTATGCCCCAGGCCTGAGGAGAAGACGCCCTGTTCTGCAACAACCATTGCTTCCCATTCGTAACAACAGGGGCATGAACATGATGCTCTTGTGATCTGCAAGCCGGGACATCTCTTGCACTGTGCTTTTGGTTGCTTGGCCTCCACTGGAAGAAGAAACCAGCAACGTTACTGGTGTTAAAATCACTTCTGAGTCTCCATGGGAGCAATGGTGCAGTGGGTCCAGATCTTCTCCGAGCAAGAATCACTCTGAGACTAATGGGCACTTAGGGATTAAAGTCTCTCCCTGAAGAACAGCCACCAAAAAACGCCAGCTGATGAGCCAGGGCTTTCCAGACCCCTGATTATTTTTCCCAGAGAACACCTATGAGTCTGGCAAGAGGACCAAGGGATGAGGCAGACTAAGTTCTGTTGTTACCTCCTGAGATGTAGCCTGAAGACCAGAGTCCTAAGGACAGCTGTTTTAAGAGTGGTAGTTGCGTACACGCTTTAATTAGCAAGCCTGCACCAAGAGGACCTCCGATTCCCTTCTGTTCTCACCCTGTCGACATCATGCATTAAACCAGCTGCTTTATTTTAACCAGCGTCTCGGTCTCCTCCCCATCTCATCTGGAGTTCTGATATTGCTGTAACGTTGGGCAATTCACCCTGCAAGACACTCAGGGCAGAAGTTGTTATTTTTCTGCAAGAGGCAATACTTAAACCTGAAGTGGAGTAATGCAAAATACCTGCTGTTGGAGCACAGCAGTACAGAAATCTAAGATCTAAGCTATGTTTTAGCCTGGAATATTTTCCATGAAACACTTTCTCTCTCTTTCTTTTTTTTTCTTTTTTCTTTTCTGTTTTAAGTGCAGTTTCTGAGTGTGGATTGTGTGGGTTTTTCTGGCTAATACCTGTAAGGAAATTTAAGTTTATGTAAAAGTTGCAAAGTTTTGCTCAAAAGAGTAGAGCCATGTTTGCTGTGAATTAGTTCTGCATGAAAATTAATGTTGTTTTCAGAGGTTTGTCACAAAAAAGTAGAAATTTCCAATAGAGATTTTGATGTTTGCTTTATGTGGAATTATTGGCCTGCCTGGGCCTTGCTGATTCATGAGAAAAATGGCGCCTTGCCTTAAGCCTGATTACTCTTTACCCACCTGAAGATAAATATATATTTAAGTGCTTTGATGCCACAACTGTGGATAAGTTTATTATGTCTCTGCTTCAGCAACTGTGCACGGCAAAACACAGCATGGCGTTGTTATACATATGCCTAAGCCTCATTGATTTAAAACATCTATAATTGGGTTTCTGAGGTGTGAATGGACACACGTGCAGTGTTAGAGCCTTCACATAATGATCACGATCTGGTTCCTAACACTTGCGAGATCTCTGTATGTTTCTAAAAGGTTTTACTGGCAATTTCTGGCTGTTTGTAGTCTCTTCATCAGAACTAGTGGTGAAGGAATGGTGTTGTGAGTGGTGAGGAGCTGTCAGCTGGGAACGTTGTACTTGAGGTAAGGACTAAGCGTAAGGAATAAGAGTAAAGTGGTATTTCTGTAAGGTGACCTGACTTCTGTGACCCATGGCTAAACACAGAGCAGTGGAGCGATGTGTCCGAGACCACAGAGCAACGCAGAGGGGAGATGGGAACAGAACCAAGAAGTCCCAAATCTCCTTTGCCTCAGACAGTGGCACAGACCATATGTCAATAACACACAGCAGGTTATAGAAGGCAAGGGGTAATAGGACACGTAAGTGAGACATCAGATAAGCAAAGAAAGGTAAAGACGGGGCATGAGATAAAGTCAGGCTGCACTGATAACGTCTACTTTTGGAAAGGATGCCGTGGAGAGAGGAATGAGAGCTCGCTTGCTGGTGTGTTGCACTTGGCAGTCACCAAGGTAAAACTCCCTAAGAAGGGTCCTGCTGCCCTTTTTCCCCTGGTTTGGGACGGGAGCTCCGGGAGCTGCACCCCTATGGAAAGCAAACCAGCCCATCGAGCAGGGTGGTGTGATGAAAGGTGGCAAATCTGCCTCCCTGGAGGAGTGCCTGAGTTTAGACCCTGCGATGTTTGCAACAGTCCCCTGCTTCCCGCCCTCCCCAGGGGGTTGTTTCCACTTAAATCCTTGTGCCGGGAGCCTTCTCCTTGTCTAAATGGCCACTATACATTTAATCCAAACAACCAGGTGACTCCAGCACAAAGCTAGGGCAATAAGCCAGCGTTAATGATTACCCCGGGCCCCTTGGGTTATGTAAGCCTGGATGTGCTGTACCACGGGCTCTCGGCTCAGACCTGCTCTCCCCATCTGGGAGAAATACCAAGGACCTGCCAACACACACAGAAAGCTGTTTGGAGCTAGCTAGGATTTTCCTTCTCCCCTTTTGACAGCACCTATGAAACCCGTTATTCGCTCGGTTCAGCGATTGCCATGCTTTGCTTGCTTGTTATTCAGAGACGTT